AAAAACCATAAAGGGGGGGGGGGGAAAGGTGAAATAAAAGACACGTAATGCAGTTTGGAGAAGCAGTTGGCTCTGGGTACAGACACCATTTGTTGGGAGGTGGGCAAGAGGGCGTGTAATTGCGTTAGAGGAAGTTTCCACCAGTCACTTTTCCCCTCTGCGACACTTCTCGAGCATGTGAAATCCCCGTGTAATGTCATTATCTCATTAAGTACACTATTGTACTTTAATTTGGGGAGTCGAGCGGATAAATAGGAATTTTTGGGGGAAATATTGAGCGTTGGGGATGATTAGGGACGGTTATTCATTCTCCGAAAATCAATTTTTTTCATATTGGAGGAAAACTGGGGGTTTTTAGACTCATTGGAGAATATATGAAACTAACATTTCTGATAATTAAGGAGAATTGGGGGTCTTGACGTTGGAAAAGTTAAATGAACAAATTTCTTCTTAAGGATATCCGAGTATTTTTTGCAGTTTGGTACAGACCACACTGTAGATTCAACCATTTTTAATGATCAAATTTGTTAATCAAATTGCGGGTGAAAATTTTGAAATAAATCATGAATATTCAGCGTTACGCATTCTTTGTTTATGAATAAATAATTGAAATTGTTTAAATCTTTGGAAATCTGATTTTTTCTGGCAAGAAATCGATTTCTAGTGAAATTTTGAATCTGAATAAATTTGTTACGATTTAGAGCAAATGATTTTTATGATTTTTATTGATGATTTATGAAAAACTTCCTAATTTTTTCCCCGATTTTTGACTGCAAAGTTTAATTAATAAAATCATTGTAAAATTTCTGGAAACTTAGGGTCAAATGGGGCTCAAATGAAATCTTTTACGTTCGACTAGAAAAGTAGAAAAGCATTTCACTGGAGAAAAAATAGCCACAGTACTTGGATATCCTTAAGCGCGGGATCTTATGGTATTCATTTTCAAATTAATAATTCACCCCTGAAGACTCCGAAAGAAAATATAAAAAGAGAAGGCAACGTTAAAAAATCAACTGAATCCAGTGGTCAAGGAAAACCCTGGGGTACCCAGCAAATAATGCAGATATTGAGAACTAAGTCCCATGTGATTTCATGCTAATGCCTAGATTCGTTGCATATTTTCCATTTTATTTTGAAAAAGTCATTTGGTTGGTGGATTAAAATCTTCATCAATCTGAAGAGGAAAAACATTTTTTTAGTGCTTGCCTTTTTGGATAACATTTTTAATGAGTGTTTCGATCGTCGCGACAGCAGTTTTCTACGGTAATTATATAGTTTTTTCAAAGTTTTTGAAGTTATGAGTCTCTCGGGGAAAAAACACAGACTTGGGAGAATGAATATTTTTTTTAAATAACTCGTTCGAGTTTAATTCGATTGATAATTCCGTTCCGAACTGCAAATTCAACTTTCTAGATGTGCGCCCCATCCATCGCGAAAAAGTTTGTGGTTAAAACTTTTTCTTTTTCAGAAATCTGTTTTTTTTCTTTTAGAGAACACTATGAATTACAATAAGCCTTTCCATTTAAGAATTTTGGGGAAAATCTCTTAAAAAATTACGGGAATTTCTGATGAATATTATTATTAATGGTCAGGTTCATTTCAGCCGTCAAAATCGATGAATTAATAGAGGATTTGCTGAGAGTGCACGAGCATCTAGGGACTCTAAAATGGAGTGGCCTAGAAACAATCATTAAATGTGGTTTATGAATGAATGAATGGTTTGAGGTGGGACAGTAGCATCTGCGGTGACTATAACATTTCAGTTTCTAAATCCTTGCCACAAACATGCTCCTTTATGGACGAAGCAGACTCGGGAGAATGAATAATTGTCAAAATACCTCGTTCACGTTTGTTTCAATCCATAATCATGATAATATTGATAATTCTCCACAATCAAGGATTGCGGGGTATTGCACTCCACTCAATTGATTTATTCTGAAAATTACTCATTCTCGTCTGAAAAATCTTCTATTTGTTTATTCATTCAATTTTTATGAATAAATATATCTTTTGAGATTAAGGTTAAAGATATCCTTATTTTATCCTTCTCATTTAAGGGTATCCTTTTTTGAGAATGAGAATTGCAAAGACAAAAACGTGGATATCTGGTAAATTAGATACGACAAATTGGGCCCTTTTCACGTGAACGTCCACACAATATCAATAGCAATAGGCAGTAATGAAATCTGGGTCACCACTCAAAAACGCGAAAGGTACCGATGACGCGTGCGAAATATCCAGACTAACCATATCTGCAAAAGTGTCCGGCCTTGTCTTTGGCTTTCATTCAACTTATCAATGAAAAAGGAACGAGCAAAAAAGAGAGTGGGGCTGAAAAAGAGTCTTCATAAATATACAAACTACGTCTCGACTGATCCATATGGATGCGTAGGCATTTTGGATTGTACGAGGTCTGTCTAACAAATCGTGTCACAAGGCATAAGTTTAATTTTAGAAACATTGGAGAATTGAAGGTGAAACGCATTACCAAATATGTGACAGTAAATCCAGAGCCAGAAACCTGCGGATATTCCAACGAGTGTGAATCCTAGAATGCTCTTCCACTCGCTGCGTGGTTCGGCCATCTCGGCGAATGTTTGACAGAAACTCGCGCGATAAAGCGTTTTTTTCTCATCCAGACAGAGCCGGCGCCAGTCGCCGCGTTCTTTTTCTCTCAAGGCCTAGTTTGGGTTTTTTTAATCAATGCACCAGCGCAAATTACCGTTTTTATGGGTAAGATTGCCATTGACAGAGGGGACACAAAGGCACGCCATTCATCAGGGAGACGTGGATTAGTGTCACTGAAGGCTAGAGCAATGCTGATAATCAGAGAAACAATTTACCATTAATTCCGGGGTATTTTCCCTGAACCTAATCGCTGGAAATGGACACATCTCCAGATCCATGTACATGTATGTGCCATTTAATCCATATCCAACAACGTCACGATTTCCAATTTTGTCACGATTGCAAATACCACGTGTCGTGCGATAAATTCCCATGACGCGATGACTGAGTATGCGTGTGCTCAGCATTATTCTTGGTTTTTATTATTTTGCCACAGAAGCATCAAAATTTTTTACTTCGTAAACAAGGAAAGGCGAAACAAGTGACTTTCTTGCGCACGTGTTTTTATTATCAACGAGGAATGACGATTGGAGGCTTTTAATGGAATAGGAGAGAGTGGGGTAAAATGGACACTTTTGATTTTTTTTTAAATCTTAATGACGGGTTGAACTGTTAATGAAATGGAATATTTTTTGTCAAGGAAAAGAACAACTCTTTCCGTTTTTGCTGAGCCTAAACTGATCTCAATTGATAAATCTGTTTCTGAGTTATAAATATTTTTTAAAACGTCAAAGTGTCTGTTTTACGTTCGCTCAACATTATTTTTGATTCTGATTATTTTGCCACAGAAGCATCAAAATTTTTTACTTCGTGAACAAGGAAAGGCGAAAAACAAGGCGTGTTTTTATTATCGACGGGGAATGACGATTGGAGGCTTTTAATGGAATAGGAGAGAGTGGGGTAAAATGGACACTTGATTTTTTTTTAATGTCAATGACAGATTGAATTGTTGATGAAATGGAATATTTTTTTTGTCTAGGAAAAGAACAATTCTTTTCCTCTGTGATGAGCCTAAACTGATCGCAATTGATAAATCAGTTTCTGAGTTATAAATATTTTTTAAATCATCAAAAGTGTCTATTTTACCCCACCCTCCCCTAGGAACGCAAGTGAATAAATAAATGTGGCAAAGCAATGAGATACTTCATAGAAATCTGTTTATTTGCACGAGGCGAAAACCAAGTGAAAACTCAATGGGAAAACTAAAAACAAAAGTTATTTAAAACTTTGAATTTTTATTAAAAGAAAAAATTACGAAAGATTGAACAATTTCAATAATTTATTCATAAACAACGAATGTTTAAAACTTAATAATTTTGTGCACAATGTAATTTTACTGACACTGAACATTCATGATTTTTTTCAAGTTTTTCTCTCACAATTTAATTGACAAATTTGACGATTGAAAATGATTGAATCTATAGTGTAGTCTATACCAAACTGTAAAAACTACTTGGATATCCTTAAAAACCCATTGTGTCATGTTATTCCCCAGATTAGGAGCTAATTGAAGCAAAATGTCTCAGTTGAACAGTCACGCTGAGACAATAAGTGAATTCCTGATGACTTAACATTCGATTAACTACTTATATTATCAACATTCATTACCTCAATTACTTCTTATACGAAATTGTCCCCGGTCTCAAGGTATATCCCAAGGCCAGACCCACAAGTCCCTATGGATTTGCCGAAAAAATTCTAAATAACTCCATTTATTGCATTCTTATAAATTAATGAGTTTTTTAATTCTCATGTGTTTCAATCAAATAAAAAATTATTTGTCAATTCATTGCTCGGATCAAATAAGGAATGCTTTCCCCAAATTTTCATTTTTCAGAGTTGAACATCGCAGAAGCCATGTACTACAAAATTTTACAAAAAATTCCCTGAATTCGGAGTTTATCAATCCACCACAGGTTGGTTTTCTAAAGCCACCGTAAGAACCGTTTTCCATTCCGTTCGACCCATTCATTATTTATCATCTCCCAAACTGTCTAGTACCGCTCCTTAGAATGTTTTTCAATAGCTGAAGAATATTGTAAAAATTATCTATGAAAAACATGGGGACAATCGTAAGAAAAACACGTTTTCTACGGATATACCTTAAATCCTACGATCTTCAATGGTTGACGATGTGCAAAAGTCTCACGAATTCCCCAGTAATGACAAATGTAGCAAGGCACAGTCATATGAATTGCGCTCCAACAGGTGCCGGGTATTCGTACCACCAGAGCACCTGATGAAGTACAATCAACATGCAGCCTCCATGGCTTCAAAACCAAGGCCTCCTGATGATCCTTCAGCTCTCCTCGCAATTCCACCTTCATTCTCGTGATTTTTCACCTCTTTTTATTGCACATCTCAAGGCTTGCCTCATTTTCACATTCACATCTGTCGAGGATGCTCACTCGTCTCGCGCGCTACTTCAGGTACCTGACTAGTACTTAATCACAGCCGGAAGTACCCGAGTAACGCCCGTTACGAGCAGCAATTTTCAATTCTTTTTTTCCTCCCAACACTTCAGTTAATTCTTCTATTCCTCCTGGAAGAGAAAATTCATTTGTGTTAAGCGGGACGAATGAGGGAATGATCTGACGAGTGAAGGACACTGTTTATTCTCACGTGATATCAATTATTTGCGCGTCCTTGTGACAGGGATATAATGATGAACTGCTGTGACCTCAGACCCCATTTTCGTACCGATCAACGAAGGCTACGAGTTTCCTTTTTTAATGTCTCACCCCGGGGATCGTAATCGATTCCCCAAGGCTCACCACCTTCTCCATATGCCACTTGTGTGAGTCTTGGAGAGCTGTTGCTACGGTATCAAAATCAATTTTCGAACTTCCCTTGTGGAGTTTACCCTTTGTGCAAAGCCCGATGGGGCCAAACTTCCGAATGACAATGAAACTCAAGCACGAAACAATGGGGATACAACAATGAGGGGTTTACACTGGTTTCAACCGCTCTACGTTGACATTGTCAGCGTCGATATACATTTTTTTAACGCACTTTATTGGCTTCGAATGGATTATTCGCTTGGGGAGAACGACTCTTTTGCTTTATCCTCAAGTGGGAGACGATCAATATTCTATGATTGGGGATTTGCGTGATATCTTTTTATTAAAATGTGGGATGGGCGCTTTTATTTTGGAAAATAATCGATGAGGAAGTCATTTCGAACATCTTAACAAAAAATTAATGTTTTTTGGGGTAGAAGAAAGTCCGTTCGTTTCATCATTTAGAAAAACCTGTAAAATCTCCGAAACTAGTGCGCCTATCAAAAAATGTGATAAAATAGTTTTTGCGACGAATTTCATGCGCCACAAAAAAGGTCTCTTGACGTTTTTCGATAATCCTGTTAGTCTTCGAGGTATTGCACGTTTTATTCATGAGAAACCGCACGAACTCTCATATCAAGATTCTTTGTGAACAACTTTTTTTAACAAAACGTGAACTGCTCTTTTTTGAAATATTTTATTATTCACTGTTCACTTTTGAAGGATGAATAAAATTTACGAAGTATCCATTCTCGTCGTAAGTTGTTACACCCACAAGAGTTGAAGCCAAACTGACAAACCACCCGACGTGGAATCCGAAAAGTTACTCACGCATTCCAACCTCGAACCTGTCCTTTTCACTCGGCCAACGAGCAAGTGAAGAAACGAGAGAAGAAAATAAAAACAGAGAGAGAGAGAGAGAGTGAGGGTATGTGATGGAAGGGGTAAAGAGAGAAACGATTTTCTGTTCTTCGTGCAGATGTTGTTGAAGGGATTGTTGAAGGGGTCAGCTAGTCAAGAAATTTTTCCAGGAAAATGACTTTTGCAACATGGTAATTCTGGGCATTTACGGGGGATGGGGAGTGACTACCGAGAAATGGGGACAATGCCATGTGTAAAAGAGGGGAGGATTCCGCCCCCCCCCCCCAGGTAAAGACGGTAGGATTATTCAGCCTGGGGATACTACCTTCTTTCTCAATGAGTGGGAAAGGTCACTGTTTAATGAGAACATTTGTCATGACAGTGAGGAATGGAGATATTTTTATTATGGGGAGATACAGGTTCAAGGACTTTTGAAATCTTTGGCCATTGTCCTTGGGCAAGTTCTCCTTAAATTTCACTTATTTTCGGAATTCTGGACACGAGGATTGTGAATAATTTACGAATGAACTGTGAGGATGGAAAATTCTCCATTGGCGCGGCGGAATTATTCCCACGTTGAAAATTTCAGAAATGAAGAATTGCCGCCGCAAATTGATCGGAGAAATGATTCATTTTCGTGGAAAATGTGAGTTAATTTGAAAATGTAAGATGATATACTGTTTAGTTTTCTCATTTTTGGGGTTTTTCCAATCCAAAATTTTAGGAATGAATCATGGTAATGTCAAATGCTAAATTGGTACAAGGGTTATTACCATGTGGAGATTTTTTTAGCAATAAAGGCCACATTGTCTCAAATTTATTCCAAGAATCATTAATTTCAGTAGACACTTGGCTCTTCAACTTAAACTCGAAAATATTAATCACTGAGAGAAGATATTTTCGATTTTCTCGACTTTTTGTGAATTGTATTGTAATTGTAATGAATTTAGTGGATTTTAGTATATTTTCTCTAATTTTCCCTACTTGTTTGAGCGCTTTTTTCAATCTAAAACTAAAATCACCGTTTTTTCGGCTTTTTAGGAATGAATTATGGGATTATCAAATGCAAAATTGGCACAAGGATTATTACCATGTTGAGAATTTTTAGCAATAAAAACCACATTCTCTCAAATTTATTCCAAAAATGATGAATTTCTGCGGCCATTTGGCTCGTTAACTGGAATTCGACAATATTAATCATTGAGAGACGATATTTTCTGGAATTTTCCCTACTTTTAGTGAATTGTATTATAATTGTAGTGAACTTGTAAATTTAAAAAATCACCATTTTTTTCGGATTGTTAGGAACGAATCATGAGAATGTTAAATTGGCACAAGGATTATTACTACATCAAGAATTTTTGGCAATAAAGACCGTATTGTCTCAAATTCATTCCAAAAATTATTTATTTTAGTGAACATTTGGTTCTTTCATTTAAACTGGAAAATATTAATCATTGAGAGAAGATATTTTCTCCAATTTTCTCTACTTTTAGTGAATTGTATTGCAGTTGCAGTAAATTTAGTGAATTGTAATATATTTTCTCTAATTTTCGCTCGTTTCAATCCAAAACTAAAATCCTCATTTTTTCGAATTATTACGAATGAATCATGGGAATGTTAAATTCTAAATTGGCTCAAGGATTATTACCATGTCAAGCATTTTTAACACAAAGACCACATTCTCTCAAATTTACTCCGAAAATGATGAATTTCAGTGGACACTTGGACTCCCACGTTAAATTCAAACATATTAATCATTGAGA